GAGACTTGGCGCATGTTTGGGTATGAGGACAGAAGAGGCAGCATTTGAGGGGAGCCGAGGGGAGCTGAGGAGAGCTCCCTGCACAAACACCGTCTGTCACCATGCTTACATGCCACCCTGGTCCCTCACTCCTCCGGCTCTGACAGCCATCAGTGCAGAGCTGCCAGTGGAAGTACAAGGCCTCCTGTGGAGATTCCTGCTGGAAGCAGATGACCGGGCTCGCAGCCAGAGAGTAAAGGACGGAGAAGGGGGACAGGGAAGGGATACAGAGGAGCAAAGACGCACGAGGGTTCATGCAACTTTCTTGCCATACATTTTCTTGTATCTTCCACTTTTTTAACCTCATGAATAGGAGTAAAATCTCCCAAACAGACTCACCAGAGGGTGGAAACCGTGTTTTTGAGGTAGGAATGAAAGGTCTGTAGTGGGAAGAGCTGGAGCCAGGAGACCCAGTGGGAGCCATGCTGTGTGGCCTCAGCAAACCCAGGGCCCTCTCTGGGCCTCATGGCTCCACCGTCCGTGTGTCAGGTGCAGGCTGGATCGGGTGCTCCTCCAGGGCTCCTGCAGCCTCTGCTCTCAGTCTGGACAGTGAGGTGGGAGAAAAGCCTGTCTCCGGCCGGCCAGGCCTGGCTGTGTTTAATCTGTCTCAGCTGATGCCAGGCCCGCGAGGTCACGCAAAATAGCCCCAGAGGAAGACGTTAACGGCCAGCAGGAGGACGGCGTTGATGTTGCAGACGCTTCTCCAGAGCGGCTTTTCCTCAATGCTGGTCAGCTTCCGCTCCAGGGCCGCCTTCTCCGCGGGGCTCAGCGCTTGCTCCGGGGCCCCCGAGAGCCCGCAGAACCAGCCCCACAGCAGCTTCCCCCAGGACCTGCGTGAGGCTGACAGACAGAAGCCAGAGGGGAGGAAACGCAAGGGAGGTGCGAGGTGAGGTGGAGATAGGGGGATGATGAGAGAGCGGGGCAGGGAGAGTGGTGGTGAGAAACCCAAAAAAGGAGGGAGGTGCACGGGAGGAGGGAGAGGCGGAACACTCAGCATCCGCGTGCAAGCCTCAGACTGGGCGCCGAGCTGCGCTTCCCACCCTAGGGACCTGAGCGCCAGCCTGGCCACAGCACCCAAACCATCATCTGGCAGAAGCATCTCAGTGTTTAGGGTAGGGTGGTGGTAAGGGGCAGGGGTGTTGTGCTAAAGGGTGAGGATGATGATGCAGTTCATCCCAGTCCAGAGCGCACGCCCAGCAAGCGGGCAGAGGGGCTCAGTATCAGGGAGTATGCTGCCCCGTGCTATAAGCCAAGTCTTCTCACCTAGACTTTATCAGTGATGAAGGCAATGTTTTGGCTCCCATCTGTCTTACTCATTTAACAACCATCTAGGAAGGGAGGAGGGTGATATACTGGGGCCTTCCTTAGAGACCCCATCCCCACTGACCCCCAGATGGGGTCTCTGGGGACCTGTGACCTAGGGTCCGTCCCCACTGCTCCTCTGTGACGTGCACCGCCAGCCTGCCCTCAGCCTACCTCCAGGCTGCTCCTCGCCCCGGATGGAGTTGTCTGCCCCTCCAGCTCCTGCAGGGACCTCTTTGGGGGGCACCTCCACTGTCCCTGCTGTGTTCTCACTGGCCTCCTGTTCCAGCTCAGAGTGGGGGCGGTTCCGTGTCCACCACGTCAGGCGAGCGAGCTGGAGGGAAAGAAAACAGTCTTGGCTCAGGTACCTGGGGTGGGAAGTCCTGCTGCAGAGAGGATCCCTTCGTGGGAGGCCATCGGAGCAGCGAGGAGAGCGAGCAACAAGCTGCCTTAGGCCCGGCAGCTCCATTCTTCAAAAATCTGAACTCCCTGCACCTGCTCCAAGCAGGGCTCATGCGGGGACCGGAAAACACACCGGGTCAGGCCCGGCGCCTGACCTCACGGAACTCATGGACGGGGCGAAGCGAGGCTGCACAGGCAGGTAGGTGCCCCATGACAGGGACGCCCCACGACAGGGGCTCCCGAGGTCAGGCTGGGGGCTGACACTAAATAAAACCAGTAGGCAGTGGGGAGTCCCCACAGACAGGAGGCAGATGGAAAAGCCCAAGTCCTGGGTTTTAGAAAGGTCTCAGAGTGAACTGCTGGGACCCAGCCTAGAGATGGTTGCAAAAGTGAAACAAGAAAGAATGAGGTCCTGAGGTCACAGGACGGGGCAGTCTTAAGGAGGGTTAAGGAGTGGGGTTTCCAAGCCATGGTGACTGATCAACTGAGCCATGAAAGGGAGAGGGAGGTTCTCAGATCCTGGCCAGGACCATCAGATGGCGGGGGGACCCTCTCGGGGATACAGAGGGCAGGACGAGGAGTGGGTTTGGTGATGGTGGGAGTGAGAATGAGGGGTAGAAGGCAGGGCAGTCATGCACACGCACAAACAGCATGAGCATGAAGAGTCTATAGGACCTCAGAGTGGAGACGTCCAGGGAGAGAAGCAAACCCGTGCTCCTGGACGGCTGGGGCTTCCCCTCCTCAGGGGCTCAGCAGAGAAGAGCACAGTGAGTCCTCTGCCGGATAGTGGTTGGATGCAACGTCACCACCTGCGCTCTGAACTGTCTCCTTTCCGACGGGCTCTTTCCTGGCCAGGCAGCTCTTTGTTACATGTTGAACCAGGTGCCCCTGAACTGCCTCCAGCTTCCTACAAATACATGCAGCTGTGCGAGGGAGTCGGGTGAGCCCCCACTCCTGGGACACGTTCCTCTGGGCACCCAGCTGCATCTCTCTATGAGATCATGAGCTCCTGGGCTGCTTCCTTGCTCTACTTACACAGTGTGTCCCCAGCAGCACATGTACCGTGTCTCTTTATGTCACCAAGAGGCAGTTGGATTTGGGGTTTGAATCTTGGGAGAGGGGTTTTGGTCAGAGATAGAGAATTGAGTTTCATCTTTATGTAGAGGGTTGTTGAATTCCTGGGCATGGATAAGACAGCTCAGGGACAGTGTGGGGTGAGAAGGGTTATAGGTCACATGTGGGTCCCTAAGGAGCAATGACATTTAAGGGGCAGGAAGAAGATCCCATGAAGATAGCAGAAGAGTGGTCATAAGGGTTAAAAAAATACAGGAGGGAAATACGTATTGGAAGTGAGCAGAAGAGAGGTCTCTAGGATGTAGGACATGGTCAGGAGTGTCTGGTTCTCAAAATTCGCTTAAGATAAAGATAAAGATAATTTTCAGTAACAAGGTTGCTGGGGACCTTGGTGAAAGCAACGCCAGTGGGCGGTGAGGCTCCAGCCAGACTGCAGTGGGTGGAAGCCAATGAGAGGCGGAAAGTGGAGGCTGGGGATGGGGACCATTCTTTGTGAAGTGTGCTGTTGAGGATCAGAGAGGGAGACAACTGTAACTGCAGGAGAACAGGATCTAGGTTGGGGCGTTTTAACTGGAATGGACTTCAGTGTGGGGGTGAGACAGCAGACACTGGAGAAGGTGAAGGGTCCAGCAGTGGCGGGAGACGAGGCAATTTCAGGAGCCGCTGAGGAAGTCAGCCTCTCTGCTCATCTGTGAATATGCTGCTTGTTTGTAGGAATTAGTGATACCAAGAATAGAAAGTCTTTTTGCAAACTCTAAAGCGCCATACAGGTAAGGGGTATTATTATGTCCAATCAATGTCTTAGAGACCAGTTTCCAGCATGGGCTTTGTACGGGCTAAATTCAGTTTCCTCCAAATTTATATGTTGAAGTTCTAACCCCCAGTGTTTTAGACTGTAACTCTACTTGGAGATAGGGTCTTAAAGATGTCATTAAGCTTAAATGAGGTCATTAGAGTGGCTCTGATCCAACACGACTGGTGTCTTTACAAGAAGAGATCAGGTCACAGACACACGTGGGGAAGACTACATGAAGACAGAGAGAAGACGGCCCTCCACCAGCCGAGGAGACAGGCCTCCAAGAAAGCCAGCCAGCCGAGCGCTTGGTGTCAGACCTCTGGCCTCCAGAGCTGTGAGAAAACACATTTCTGTTGTTCAAGCCACTCCGCCTGCTGTGCTTTGTTACAGCAGCCTAGGCAAACCCAAACCTTTCTGCTTTAAAGAAAAGAGTTTTCGAAAGACTGGGCATTGTTGTCTGAGGACTGGTAAATCCACCATCAGGGGAGAGGTGAGGACTTCAAATTGAGCTCTTAACCACCTGTTTCTTCAAGGTCGAGCTCCAAATGACCTTGTCAGGGAACTCGCCGAATACCCCCCACGCCTCCCCAGCAGTACCCGCCTCTCCCTCTGCGCTCGGCCCCTCCCTTTGAGCTTGGTTCTTCTGCACGTCCTCTTGGTAGAGTAACTGTTGGTGTTGGGGTCTTCCCCTCACCCCACCTCTCCTCCCATGGACAGTCATTCCAGGGACCATTTATCATTGTAACTCCAGTACATTGTCTGGCACATAGTAGGTGCTTGCTGAGTAATTTTCCAATTGAACGAATTACTTTTCACTTGGGAATTAACAGACCAAGATGCTCCGTGTCCCCAGGACATCTGTGTGGCAAAAGGGGAGACCACAACCCAGAGGAGTAAAACTCAAAGGTGGAGCTCCAGGCACCAGGGGCAGGGGGGCATTTGGGGAACCTCATTCCGAACCCTCCCCTTGCCTTTTCCTCCGGGATGGGAGTTGTGCAGAGGCTGACAGTGATGATGACGATGGCCGTGATCCCGCAGAGGAGGAGTGCAAAGTAGAGGTAGTGGAAGTCCCTCAGCACAGCTGGCCTCGGGTCCGCCTCCCCGCAGGCTGGGGCTGGGTAACAGAACTCCAGGATCATGCGCAGAAGCCCCACTGCCAGGCCAAACATGAGGCCCCAGAAGGCTCCCTGTGGAGAGAAGGGAGGGGAGACGGCAAGGGTGAGAGCCAGGTGGGAGACCCTGGGAAGGTATAAGAGCCACGGTCTGTTATAGTGTTGTAGTGTTTGCAAGTCCGTCTGAGCGAGTGCTTCATGAATGCTGAGGCTTTGTTCTACCCCAGAAAGCACGGGCTGCAAAGTCAGTCAGGCTAGGCTCTAGGCAGAGCAATGCCTGGAGCAAATGCCTCGACCTCGCTCATGTGCAGTGATAAGCAAAGTACTGAGGCTGAATGCTTAATACTCAACTAGAAGGGATGCGCCTTGGTATACATCAGCTGGGAAAACCAGGATCTTCCCACACTTTCTGTTACGAGAAATCAGAAATCAGTATAGAGCTCTTCCCTTTTTCACTTTTAAAGAAAAGCTCTGGCTCCTCCCACATCTTCTTTCTAGCACTAGTGGACCCTAACCTATACCTGTTTCCTCTATATAAGAGTCAGATGGCTTGTGTTTTCAAAAATGAGATGCTGATTCTATTTCAAAAATTCTGGAATGAGTAGAAACCTTCAGAATTCAACTGAATCCTGCTGTGCACCCTGGTTATCAGCAGGGGGCTAGAGCTCTACAAACGGTAGATGCAGCAGAGACCTGGGTTAGCTACTGCACTGGGGGAGGGGCTTCTGTGGTCCCCTTTGCATGACCCTGGGCTCTCACGTGGCCCCGTGCAGCAGTGACCATGACATCCCTGCCCTCCCCAAGCAAGGTACAGCCAGCAGATTTGGTCTTTTCTAGGTACCGTCCTGGTACCTCCCAGGGTCTGCTAGATTTTAGCACAGTTTCACAAATGGCACAGGTGCAGGTGCCCCTGTAAGCTCACACTTTGTTTCATCATCCTCACTGCTGTTGTTTTGCCTCCATGTAGAACCTTACAGTGTTAGAGATGGAACAGACCCCAGAGGTCTTCCAGTCTCCTCAGGCTTCCATACAAGCTGCTCCCTGTGTCTGGAACGCTTTTCCCTCTCCCATTACACCTTCAGGTCTCAGCTCAGATGTCGCTTCCTGACACCCTCCCAGGCGTCCCATAGGTTAGGTGCTCCTGCTCTTTTCTCTCATAGCAGCCGTCATACTTTGTAATATTGCATATTGAATCATCTTTCCTCCCAGCTGGCTCAGGGATGGCAGACCTTCGTGAACTTTATAAAGCACTCCTCCCCCGGGGCCTCCATAACAGGATTGATTCATGTTTGTTGAGTGAATGAATGAATCTAGACCAGATGCTGTGGCTAGGGAAATGGGGAGCAAGGCAGTCTGTGAGCCCAAGGCCACAGAGAGAGACCATGCTATGGGCAGACTAGCTCCCCGACCCTCTGATGAGTGGGAGAGACAGGTGTGCTGCTGCACTCACAGGCTCTGTGACCCTCTTGCAGAAGATGGCCAGCAGGAAGAGGGCGGTGATGGGCGGGGCCAGGTAGCTGGTGACAGACTGGATGTAGTCGAAGAGCTGCCCGCTGTTTGCACTTTGGATGATGGGGATCCAGAGGATGCTGATGACGACCAGGAACACCACAAACACTCTGCGGGAGAGCACGGGACATGGTGAGAAGCTCTCAGGGCAGCAGGGCAAGGGGTGGGGTGAAGGTGATGTACAGGAACCAGGGAAGGAGACAGGAAGGGAACACATGGTCGCTGAATCAGAGAATGTTAGAAGTCCAGATCACAAATGCTAAGATTCCAGAGATTTAGGCAATTTCAGAATCCAAGAAACCCAGGATTTTTGAATTGGATGCCCTTGAGTGCATGTGGCCCCTTTGCTCTTCAGGAAGAAATCCACACCTTTCCCTTCACTACCCACCTCAGTAAGCAGTCTCTGGTCTGCTTGGGGTGCTTTGCTTCTCTTTCACACCCAAACCCTGTGCGGCATGGCCCCCCTTTCCAGCGATGCGGCTCCAGCCTCTAGGGACTTCTCCTCTAGGCGCCTCCAGCTCTAACCCTCTCTCCCTTACTTTGGCATTTAGCTTGGACAGGGACTCCACGTTCTTCTCCAGATTCCCCTCAACTGTTTCTGGCTCAGGTCCAAGTCCCCTAAGTCTCTGATCTTGCAGGTATGTGAACAAGTTGAAATGCTTTTCTAGCATGTGTTGGGTGCAATAATGCACGTGGCCAGGAGATGGCGCCCAAACCCCACTGATTGATGAAATAAGCATAGCATGACCCCACAGGTAGATGAGCAAAGAGATAAAAGGATTCTGCACACCTGTCCTCTCCTCTCCATTCTCTCCCATTTTTTCTCTCTCTCTCTCAGGCCCCACTAGAACAGCAGCTATGAAGTGGTCTCCCTGCCTCTCATCTCCCTCTCATCCCCCACCTCTTTATACAATCTGTCCTGCACTCAGATCCTTCGATGGCCAGACCGTGTGCATAGGGCTGGCGCCACAGATGAGTGGGCAGTAGGAATCCATCAGGCAGCCATGGGCAGAAGGCATCATGGTGGAAGCAACAGTGAGTGCAAAGGCAGGGAGATGAAAAACAGCAAGTTATCTAAACTCAAGTACCATCCACCAAAGCGGAGAATGGGCATGTTAATCCAGAAACCTGAGCTACAGAGCCTTAAATTATGAAGCAAAGATTTCAGAAAGGGCCTCTTAACCTTATGCAAACTACAAATCCCCAGCCTAGGGAGAAAAAGAAAAATTAGCCACCAAGTTATATTTTGAAAAGCATAAAATGGATACCTATGAGATAAAGTTCAAATTTTTCAGCTTAGTATTCAAAGCTCTGCATCCTTTGGAGACAACCTTCCCGTAAACATCTCCATCGATGCAGGCCCCCCAGTGCATTACCCCTTTCTCATTAAACTGTGTGCACCCTCAGGGCAGGAACATGTTAGTCATCCCTGTGTCCCCAGCCCAAAGGTTAGATGCGAGGTAGATGCTCAGGGTGAGTTTGATGCAGTGAATGAACAGTCTTTCTGTTATCCTGGGATGGCAGCCAGAGCTGGTCCAGGAGACATTAGGAGCAAGCTGCTTGCTAACTTCCTCCCATTTGTACAGTTCACCTTTCATTGATTAAATGCTTTGTCAGCTTCTCTCATTTACCCTGTTGATCAGTTCTAAGATAAAGTTGAACAGGCAGGGAAGAGATTTTTTTCTTCTTATTCTGGAGGGGGAGGAGTGGTCCAGAGCTGAGGAGGAACTTACCTGAGGTCACATGGAAAGCTGGCGCTAGAACCCAGAGCTCTGACTGCCAGTGCAGGGTCCAGACCCAGCCACATCTCCTCAGAGGAGAGCGGGGAGGGAACCTGCCTACAGGGGACACTCCAGAAGGATGGGCCCGCGCACCTGCCCACTACCATCAGCTCCTGCTCCGTCGCCTTCCTGCGGAAGCGCTGCCACACGTCGATGGCGAAAAGGGTGCTGCTGCTGTTGAAGATGGAGGTGAGTGAGCTCATGAGGGCGGCCATGATCACGGCGATCATCAGGCCCCGCAGACCTGGGAAGAGACAAGGTTTCCGTGGACAGCGGCCCACTAAGGCCAGCTCTGCCAGGAGCCACAGAGGCTGCAGCATCCAGCAGAATCAGGATTTAGGGGATGGTAAGGGGCAGGGAGGCTGTGGAATGAGGCTCCCATCCAGGAATCCAGGAGACCCAAAGAATGAGAGGCCAGATCTGGCCACACTCTGCCTCTGCCTTCCTCTTGGCCTTGGCTGAGTCATCTGCACTCCCTGTGCCTCAGTTTCCTCATCTGCACCATTAAGGGGTGTGAGATGAAGCTATCTTTAAGGTTCTCTGCAGCTTTGACATCTCAGGCTGAGGTCTAAAGCTTGTAGACACTTGGTTAGTGGACCCCTAGTAGGGGAGAGGGTAAATCTTAATCTTTGGGTATTTTTTCAGTGTTTTTGTACCTTTTTCACCGACACTGTGGTGCCTGGCTAAAGCCCCAGCCTGGGAGGCCGAAGCCCTGGATTTGTCTCCTGGTTCTCCAAGAAACTAGCTGTGTGATCTTTGGACCAGTCCTGGCCCTTTCTGGGCCTGTTTTCCACCTGTGGCAAGGTGGGGTGGGCCCACAGACACCTGAAGTCTTTATGGTTCTGATGACCAAGCATCTAGAAACATGACTGCTCACCCCTGGGGGACACCTCCCAGCTCAGGCCCGGCTCAGCCCTTTTTCCCTCCAGCTCAAATATGTAACCACCTCCTGTATGTCTCCCTGGAAGACTCAAGATGTCCCAAACCAAGGCCAGCATCTTTCTCCAGGACCTCTGTTTCTTCCTTTGTTTAGTGTATTTCTCATCTCCAATCAGACACCTCATAGTTATTCTGGGCCCCTTTCTCTGCTCCCCTCGCCCCACCTCCCTCAGTCAGTCCCTCTGTGGCTGCCCTGTCATAACTGGTCCCCTACCCACCTCTGCAGTATTTGTTTGATTCATTTTTTGTTCTGCTGGAAGGAGGGAATAACTCAGTGACTTCCCTCCATAAACCTCTTTCTCTTGATGTCCTCAATCTCAATATCCTTGTAAACCCAAGGCCTGGAAGTCCTCTTTGGATCTCTCATTCTTGTCCCTCAGATACAATCAATCATCAAGTCCTGCCAACTCTATCTCATGAGTATCTTTTAAACCCTTTCTGTCCATCTCTAAAGACACTGACCTGGTTCAAACCACCATCACCACCTGGCTCACTGAGAACCCCTCATTTATCAACTCTCTGCCTCCCCCTAAGCTGAGCCCTCTGTGCAGAGTGATCCTTCTAAAGCACACATCCAATCATGCACGCTGGCCTTGAAACCCCCCTCCCCGGCCTGTGACCTTCTACTGCCCTCAGAGTAAAGGCCACACTGCACAGTGGGGCGTGGCCGCCACCTCCACGCCACGAAGATGGTCTTCATTCCTACTGCATCTGAGCCCACGCTGGCTACTTTCGGTTCTGACTTCATGCTCTCTCTCAAGCCTGGGCTTTGCGCCTGCAGCCCTTCCTCCTGGGAATGACATTTCCCACACTCCTCTGCCTTCGTCTGCCTAAGATGTTCCTCAGGACTCAGTTCCATGTCCTCTCCTCTGGGAAACCTTCCCCCACATTCCCCCAAAGTGGGTCAGGTGCCTCCTTAGGGTCCCTCAGTCCCACTGTGTCCCCACACTGGTCTCACTGTATTGTGCCTTCTGCAAGGAGTCTGACAGCAGGGGTCTGCCTTTTATCCCTGCATCTCCAGGACCAGGGCACAAAGCAGCGCCTTACAGACACTTGTGAAAAATGTGCGTGTGTGTATATTAGGAAGAGGGATGCAGCGGTGGATGGTTTTATTCCCTCTTCCCATCCATGTGCATCCTTAATGCAGCCCCTCCTGGGCTGCGGGGAGTGGCAGAAGCTGGGGAGCTGGTGTGAAGCGTGGTACATGGGAAACGAGACTCACCCACTGGCATGAGATCCATGACCAGCTTGGGGTAGGCGATGTTGGAGCATCCCACTCGGGCCCCGCAGATCCTTTGGCAGACGTCAGGGTCCACGCAGCCCACCTCATCTGCAGGAGTGGTGGCAGTTAGGGCCTCCTCTGGTTGGCCCATTACCCATAGGGAAGTGTTTGCCTGTAACTCAGGCAGGGCCGGCGTCTGGAGGGTCAGAGGGCAGGTGGGTGTTGGACACTGTCATTTAGCGGCTCTGGTGACTTTCTCAACCACATGCTACCCTGCAAAGGCTGATGGAATCCTTTGGATTTTAGGCTTTATATCTTCATAAAAGGCAAATATCCTTGCAAAGCACCAAGAATGCCTTCATGGGTCTTTCCCTTATAAAAGGAAAAGCAGGGTTTCAAAATGACACTCAGATACAGGTTTCTTCCACTGAAACACTTGTATGTCTGACACACAATGCCTAACGTACGTATTGTGTGTTCTTAATGGAAACAGGGTGTGACCCCTGCTCTGGTCAGTGCCGCCCGGAAGGAGACTAGCTCTCACCTGGGTACAGGGCGCGGCTGATCATGCCGGGCATGACGATGAAGAACATGGGCAGGACCTTCAGGTAGCCCCCAAGCACAGAGCCTCCCTTGGCGTGGGACAGACTCTTGGCGGAGAGAGACCTCTGCACAATGACCTGTAAAGGTGGCAGTTTGGGGGTGCTGCTGGGGGGGGCTAGGGCTCGGCTCAGCACAGGTGAGCCCCGAAGTGCCCCACACCCGTCCCCGAGCGAGTCCCAATCCTCCGTGTGTCCAGATGCCTGGCTGGCCCACAGGAAGCCAGCCTGCCCAGCCTGTGGTGGGCGGGGCCACGCTCGGCTAGGGCATCACCTGGTCGGTGCACCAGCACCAGGTGGCCAGCACTGTGAGCCCGAAAATGAGGCCTGGCCAGGGGAGGTCTCCGTTCACAGGGTCCCGGAGCATGTGAAAGGCATCGGGTCGGGGGAGGTGACAGGTGGTGTTGGGGACTGTGACATTAGGGATGGCCTGCCTGTACCGCTGCTCCAGACCTGGGTACCAGCCCACCTCCTGAAAGCCTGTGGGGAGAGACCACAGTCAGCAAAAGAGCCCTGAGCCCCCCTGGGCCTGTCACAGGCCCCTCCCCAGTTCCCAGTCCTGTGTGGGGCCCCCGGCTTGGACCTGGTATGGGGCTTGGGAATGACCTGCGACCTGGGGCTGGAGTAGAGAGAACCCTGCACTTTGAGAGCCCTGGCCTGGAAGGGAGGACATGGGTCTGTGCTCTGGAAAGTTCTGATTACACGATGAAGGTGACAGCTGAAGACAGAGCAGAGAGGAAGGTAGGGGTGAGGGAGGGGTGTGTTCAGGCCTCTTCCTTACCCAGAAACATGAGGACCAGGGCTCCCCCAACCATGATCACGGTCTGCAGAGTGTCTGTGTAGATCACAGCCGTGAGGCCCCCTGGGGACCCAAGGAGAGGACTCGTCAGCCAACACCAACAGTGGTGTATCTTGGGGTGCCCGCCCTGTGCTTGGGCACACTGGGGAGACCAGAGAAGACATGGAGCCCTCAACAGGTGGACTCTGGCTGCGGCCTTTCTCCACACCGTGCTCCCTGTGTCCCGCCCGCCCAGTCGATGGACGGCACAGTCACAGGTGCTCATGTCTACCTCTTTCTGTCCCTGAAGGCTTCTGGCTTGTGGTTTTGTAATATCCCACGTCCTTTCCTTTGCTGTGCTGTTAGGGAGACCTCCTGCCCCACCCAACACCCATTTAAATCCCCCATCTTTCCAGGCCGCCGCAGCCAGGAGTAAGTCTGCCCTGAGCCCGTGCCCCAGGTGCCCAGGCCTGTGTGAAGGGCTCCAGAGGAGACAGGAGAAGGAGGCTTGTGACTCTTGCCTGGAACATCGGCAGTGACCCTAGTCCGGGTGACAGTCCCCCACTCGCCATCCTGTTCCGTGTGGCAGTCGGCCTTTCCCTGTATCTCTGAGCATCTCTCCTTCCCTGTCTCTCTCGGGCTGGCTCTGTTTCCTCCTGGTTCTGCCCTTCCTGTCTCCCCCTTTCTCTGTTACACTCAGTCTTTCCATCTTCTCCTCTGATGCTGAGCCTCCATCTGCCTCCATCTGCTTCCCCTTCTGTTTCTTGCTCTCACTCTCCAGGTCAGTCTTCTTGCTCTCTGGACCTCTGTCTCCTCCAGCCCTTCCCTCTGGGTCCCTGCCACCAGGAGCTTCCCTCCCCACCTCTCTATCTCTCAGTCTCTGCACCTGACGTGACTTCCCCTCTGCCCTACCTGTGATGGTGTAGACGGCCGTCACCACCAGCAGGATCACCGTGGAGAGGTAAAGATTCCAGCCCAAGGCCATCTGGATGAAGAGGGCTCCAGAGAAGATGTCAGTCTGCAGAGACCGGGACCCAGAAATCCAGGTCACCTGAGGCCTCCGTGTGGCCACCAGGGTATGTCACCTTCCTGCTCAGCAAAACCAGGTGCTGTCGGTCCCAGTCACACGATGAGGTTGAGCCTTAAGTGCCATATGCGGGAGGATGGGCTTGATCTCACAGATGCCGAGCAGCCGCGGGGACTTAAAGCACAGCAGTGCCGCGTACAGCGCTGAGGCTGAGAACCACGTGACCTGGCAGGGCCGTGTGCTGGCGGTGAAGGTGAAGTGGCACACGGAGGAAGTGAGGTGGGAGCTGGGGTTGGGGAGAAAGAGGCCATGGGAGGAAGGGTGGGAAGCCAGGGGTCCCCGGCTGCCCCCCGAAGGAGCACGGGCCCTCTGCACTGCCAGCTGGGCCCACAGCGGACCGCCGGGGCAGGAGCCCCAGTGCAGATGGCACAGGTCCTGGACCTCCATGTGTCTGGATGTGCTGGGGGACTCGGGTCTCAGCCTTTGCCTGAGCTGACTTAGGGCTGTTGATAAGCGTTGGTGGAGCACACACTGTACAGGTTTTTCTAGCTCCGGACCTGGCAAATGAATGATTCCGTCCCCTTCAGGGCATGTTTGCTGGCCCCTTTCCAGGAGTATTTTGTGACCCATCACAGGAGCTACCACATGAAAAGTGGCAGGGGGTCTGGACTGGGCCACGGGACCCAACGTTAATTCCAGCCCCAGAGCTAGCACTCTGGGTGGCCCTGTGCAAAACACTTGACTGGGGTTTGTCTTCTGAGTTTATGTCAACAGAGGAATGGTGAACCCTTCCTAACTGTAGTATTCTAGGCAATTAATGCTCGGTGCTGAATGAAGAATCAATTAATGAGACGATAAATGAGTGAATGAACTCTAGATCATGAGGTATTTGGATGGAGGGACGTCATTCACTCAGCAAACATTTATTGTTCATCTCTGATTACCCCACTGCTGAGAGGGAGCATGCAACGAAAGGATGTGGATTCATTCTCCCTTTTTCTTATCCTTCCTTCATCCACCCATCCGTCCATCCACCCATCCACCCATCCATCATCCATCCATCTATCATCCGACTAGCCATCCATCCAGCCAGCCAGCAACAAACCAGTCCTATACTCAGCATTTTCAGAGAGACATGATGGCTACAGTAGAGCGAGTACTCACTGAAATTTTGGTGAAGATGTAGAGAATGAGAGACAGGACAGACATGTACACCTGGATCCTCTGGCCTCCAAATCGCTTCTTCAGGTACTGCGGCATTGTGACCACACCGGCTGCGATGTACACAGGGACGAAGATCCAGCCAAGGGCCAGAAGCAGCCAGGTTGCCTGGGAGAGTAGGGAGAAGGTGTCCAGGTCCTAGATGCAGATGGAGGGGTGGTCCGTGCAGGGGAAAGCCCTGGGCAGGGAGGTGAGGGACCAGGGGCCTGATTTTAGCCCTGTGTGACCTCTGATGAGGTCCTCCAGGCCTTGGTTTCCTCATCTGTAAAAGAGGTTCTTGATTCACCATGCAGCCTCCCCAAGCACCTTCGAGGTTCCTCTCAGCACTAAGGCCAGGGATGAGGTGGGGTGAGGTGGAGTGGGTTCAGACTCTCGTTATCCTCCAGGCCAGCATCCTTACGTTCCACTCGAAGCCACCCACAGCGAGGCCTCCAGCGGCCCCTGTCCCAGCTAGGCCGATGAACAAGCCGCTGCCCACGTTGCTGGACATCAGAGATGCTCCGATCTGCAAGGCACAAGTGGGGTCAAGGGTCAGGGGTCCGTTTACATCTGAATCAATCTAGAGCCAGGACCACGAACTTCAGGAGCTGGGAAGGAGGCAGAGAGAGAGAGCAGAGCCCGAACTCAGGAAGTGTGAGATCAGAGGGAGGGCAGGAAGTGGGAGGGGCGATGTGGGGAGGGATGGGGCTGGCGTTGATCGGGCACTTGTGTGCCAGGCACTGTGCCGGGCATTTTATACGCACCAGTGCACTTAATCTCACAGATACTTGGAGGAATGGGCATTAACCTTTCCACTTTACAGAGGAAGGAATTAGTGTCAGGAGAAGTGAGGTCACGGGCCCCAGGGCACCCAGAGAGTGAGTGGCAAAGTGAGAAAGAAGAAAAGCCACAGAAGCAAGCAGAGTCCATGTAGGGAGGGTAACACTCTGCTCTGGGGCCATCAATCTAGGGCCTCCAGAGAGAAGGGAGCTGAAGGGGGAAAGGGGAGGTCCCCACGAGAGGGATGGGGGAACCCTCTGCCACCCACCTCCTGCAGGCTCCAGGGCAGGACCAGGCAGGGGGAGCCACTGTGGGGCTGAGCACAGGCTAGGCCAGCCTCTGAGTTGAGTTAATTTTCTCCAGGAGGGAGCCAGCTACTCCAAGGCAGTCATAGTTATACAGATAAAGACCATCATAGCAGTCAGTCTGTAAACAACACTGCCAACTGCCAGGTACTGCTCTAAGTATATTAACTCACTTACTCCTCACCACAACCCCATGAGGGAAGTTCTGTCATCCCCATTTCCCTCTGGGAAACTGAGGCACAGATAAATAATTGCTCAAGCTCTGGAGCTAATAAGTGACAAAACGAGGATTTCCATTGTGGTCGTGTGGCCGTAACCACTGCAGGATTGGTGCTGGGCAGTCACTGGGAGGGGAGAGGGACCGCGGCTGGAGGGGAGGAGCTGTACCCTGTGTCACCTAAATAAAATCGTGGTGCTGGGCAAGAGCAAGTGAGAAGAAGGGAAAGTTCTGAGACATTCAGAGAAGAGGCCGCTGGGCAGTGCAAAGGCACAGAGATAACAACCAGCCTGACACTGCTGAGGCCTTGGGGCCATCCCCAGCCACACACACCACGACACACACACACACACACCTCCCTCCCTCCCTCCCTTCCTTACGTCGTGGGAGTGCTCGCGACGCGCGTCGGCCGGACCCGACCCACCGACCGACGACGACAGAGACGCGACGTCGGCCTC